GTCAGTCATAAGGGATCCAGCTGCCTTAGCCATACCACCAGCTGGCCAAAGGAGAAACTTTTCTTTCTTTCTTTTTTTCTTTTTTTAAAGGTCTTTGCCATAGCACATGTACACCCACCAGAGAGGGACAGAGAGACAGGAAGAGGGAAAGTCAGACATCACCTCCCCAGGGGGGATGGCCACGCCGCAGTCCCTCTCTACTCTCCTCTCGGGATTTTGGGCATGCACACACACATGTCCGGCGTGATTTTCAAGCTGCTGGGTCCAGGACTTGAACCGCAGTCAGCCACATGGGAGTCCACCTGCTGGCCTCAGCAAAGAGGAACTTTTAGTGCGTCTTTCTTCATATTATGAAAGGAACGTATTACAGAGAGGGGAGAAGAGGGAATGATTGCTAACGGGCTTGTTTCTTTTTAGGACGACGCAACGTAGCTAGTGATGATGGATGCTCTGAATTTACTAAGAAAGCCCCCGCACTGAGCACTTTACAAGGGGCAAGTTTATGGCGCATCAACTTTATCTCATAGAAAAAATTATTATTATTATCATTATTATTATTATTTTTGGACAGTTTTCCCTATAGGGCACGTGCGCTCCCCATAAAGAGAGAGACAGAGAGACAGAAAGCAAGAAATCATCCCCCAGAGGGGATGGCCATGCCACAATCCCTTCTCCTCCATTCTCCTCTCAGGATCTTGGGCACGCATGCACACGCACCCGGTGTGAGTTTAGGCCACCGGGTCTGAATTCGAACCGCAGTCGATTCCATGGGAGTCCAGTGACATAGCCATTACTCTAACTGCTGGTCTCCAAAAATAAATTAGTTAAAACACAGAGGAAAAAGAATTTATGTTCATTTTATATATATATATATGTATATATATGCACACACATAAATAAATATAAAACCCAAACTAGAGAATGAAGTCATCTTAACACAGGATGGACCTGAACAATCAGGACATCCAGGACTTTTCAAGGATCAGAGGACAGGAATTTGGGGAGGGGGTCCCTCATCAGATCTACCTGGGCAAATTGCCTACTAAACTCCATTCTTGTAAGAAAGACAGCTTTGCAAAGGCTCTGAGACGTTTTCCGTGATATACTGATTGTTTAAAAAAGTAATGATTTATTTAATTTTATTTATTATTATTTTTTAATTTGCTACAGGTCACATGCACCCACCAGAGAGAGACAGAGATAAAGAGCAAGTGAGAAAGTAAGCCACCAGGTCTGGGACGCAAACCATGATTGGCCATGTGGGAATCCAGTGCCTTAACCACCACGCCACCTGCTAGCCCCTGACAACACTGGTTAACGTGCAAGCATGCACTAGTCACCAAATGTATTTGATATATTGGTATCTGACCATGACTCTCCATGACTTTTATTTTTTCATGGAACATTTATTAGCACCAGAGCTGTGGAATACAGGTCACAAAAACTGAGTGACTTGTCCAGAGTTCCAGAGTTTACAGGTGCCAGAGATGGGGCTAGGTTTCAGAAATCCGACAGGAGATTTCGTGAACCTGACACAGACTGGCCTGGGGAGTCTTGAACCAAAATCAGTGGCTTATCAAGCCTTTAACTAGACGTTTAATTCCCCCCCACATCCTTGAATTACATTCTCATGCTGGTCCTGAATGGCCCGTGATGGGTTCTGAGCTTTGGTGGTATCACTTCCTGGCCTTCGGGAAGTTCTAAAGGAACTGCCGCCGGAGAGGGTGCCCACAGTTTTAAAGTTCCATAGCAGAGTTCACCAGAAGGGAGGGTTTATGCGCATGCGGGTGGTTCAGCCGTCTGAAATTCGTATTCCTCCGTTCTCCTGCCCTATCTTCTTAACTAACCCTGGGAGTTCAGGAAACAGGAGTGAGCTGAGAACATGGACCATCAAACCTGCCATCGGGATGATGACAACAATGGACATTGATAGAGTATAGATTGTGCCAGGTGCCGCTCCGAGTACGCCCCACACACGAACCCGTTTAGTTAGCACGGGACCCCATCAGGTAGGTACGGTGGGCGTCTCCATTTCCCAGGGGAGGAGCTGAGGTCCTGAGAAATGAGCTCCACGAACATCACAGAACTGGGATGTGAATTTAGCCTGACTTCAGCGCTCCTGCGCTTCATTACTTTGAATCACCACGTTTTGGAAGGAACAGAAATAACAAAAAGAAAATCAATGGATCTCCTCTGATAAGCCCATGAATCATTCCAGAATGTTCTCGTGACAGCCCCATGAAGTCATTCTCTCTTGCTACGATGTCAGTTTCACAGGTTCGGAAACTGAGGCCCAGAGGAGTCTGAGCACCTCCCCAGCCATGCGGATGTATGTGAGGTCAGGGCAGGTCCACCTGCAGCCCCGGCCCAAGGCTCCTCACCCCTCCATGGCACCCACAAGTTCTTACACTACACTCTCCTGAAGCCGTTCTTTTATTCTTTGTGGTCATTTCTGTGAAGATCAGGGCGTTATCAGAAGATAAAAAGAAACAACAACAACAAAAAATGAAACCCATAAGAAATGTGTTTTGGCTATAAAAAACCTCAGGGTGAACTTAAAAAAAGAAAATAAACAACCTTGCTAAGGCCCAGTGAGGGCTGCGAACTTTTCACTTTTGTGTTTATTATACATTCGTGGAGGGGCAATGTTATCCAAACAGATAAGATCGCAAACCGGGGTTTGGGGTGATGGCTGTACTGAAGTTTCTGGAAGTTTCTGAGATTAGCTAGAAGACATGGGGGTGGGGGCGATCTGGCTTACCTACTGCTTGCTCCTGACCCTATGCCAGACTCTGCTGTAAGGCCTCAGTTTACTCATCTGTAAAACAATGCTATGGGCTCTCCTGGGACCTTTCTACTTATACAAAATTATGATGTTTAATTCTTAGAAAGAAAGACTCATCCCTACTTCCAATCATGGGCCAATTTCACAAAATCAGAACTTTTAGACCTAAAGTTCACTCATTCCCAATCTTTCTCTAAACAAACTAAGCTCAATCCATATCTTCCATTCTCAAAAGTTCAGAGTAGTTCGAAAGTTTATTTCTCCTCTGGAACAACTTGGGGGAAAAAAACGTTAATAGGAAGCACATGGGCAGGGTGTGTGAGCGTTCTGTGTGTTTGTGTTTGGAAAAAAAAAACTTACGGAGGAATATGTCAGGCTTGCAAAATGCCTGGGCTGTCTCAAGAGCAGTTCACGGCCATTAACGTGGGCTGCAGGCAGTTCGTTGGGACAGAGCCCAGCTGCTGCCGAAGCCCTTCTGGCATCTGGGCCGTGAGGACAATAAGAAAATAACCTGCATTATTCCCGGGGTAGGGTGGGAACAGAGCAGGAGGTGGTTTTTGATTTGTGAGAGGCTGGTGGGGATTAGGGTAAGGGGTGGATTCCTAGACCAGGCTCGCCCCTGAGAATCACCTTCTGGATGTATCTACGAGAGTGAGGAGTGAGGAGGGGCAGGGCATGTGGGAGCTGCATGTCTGGGCTCTGGACTACGACTGCCTGCTTTAAATCCCACTGCCACAGGCATACTGGGCAAGATACTTAACCACTGTGTGCCTCAGTTTCCCCACCTGTAAGACAGGACCTATCACAGAGCTACAGGAGGACTACAGAGAATGTGTGTTTGCAGAATAGGCGAGGGCCTGGGGTCCTGAAGGAGTGAGAAAACGTGCACTCGGAGAGGAGGTGGCACAGGTTCAGGACTTCTAGAAACTGGAGTCTGAATCCTAGCTTGAACACTTGCTGGCTCTGGGCAAGCCACTTGCTCTCTCTGAGCCCCACTTTCACCACCTGTAAGGCAGGTTGACAGTGCCTGCCTCACATGGTTGCCATGGGACCAGAAGAAACAGCATTCTGCATCCCCAGGCCCTTCACAAGCTCATGTCTCCACCCCCCATTCACTACACTCCAGATTCACGAGTCTCCTTTGCAGACATTGAACACTACGAGCCTTCTCCTGCATCAGGGCCTTGGCTCTTGCAGCTCCCTCTGTCCAGACCGTCTGCACCTAGCTCCTCACACAGCTGCCTCCTTTTCATCAGAAGGTCCCTACTCACCTGGTTAATGTTGATCACCACCCTCCCCTGGTCACGGTCCACCATGCCACCCTGTGTCTGTCCTCACAGGCCTTATCCAAACCTGCACTTACCTATTCATGGATTATTGGCTGTCTCTCTCCACAAGAGACTTGTCTTTGTTGACTCCTATGTCCCATTGTCTACAAAGGGTGCCAGGCCTAGAGCTGGTTTTCAATAGCACTGACTGAATGAATGAATGAGGAGTCACCCCTACATAACTTGAATCATTTATGCAGCCAGGGGGACGCGTGTCAGAACCGGAAAGGCTGGGTTGGGCTCGCTGTTCAACCTCTGTAGCCTTAGAAGCCCTGAGGCGGGAAGTTCAGTTTCTATTTGAAGAGCTAGAAAGAAACTGGTTTGAGATTGATCCAAATGCAAGTTCAAGTTCAGTGTCCTCACAAGCCCTCCTGGCTGGGATCAGCGTCATAATTCACTCTCCACTTAGAGGTGGGTCCCGGCAGCTTTTACGCCCCAGTAGGACTCAGAAAGGCCACTGTGGGGGAGACAGAGGTGACACGGAAGCGGAGGAGGCAGGAGAGTGCCATGGTGAAGGGCATGGGCTTTGGAATGAGGCCAAGGTCGGGATCGCACCAGGCCCCGGTTCAATGTCATCTCTTCATAGAGCCTTCCTCGACGACTTGACCTAAAGTCACACGCCCCACCTCTCCTGACTCCCCTGACAGCTCATCACCCTTACCCAAACACCAAGTTTCCTTACATCATCACACCACGCTTATTTGTCCACTTGTCATCAGTTTTTGCTCCCTGCCAGGGGCTTGCCAGACCTCATGTCTATTTTGTCTATCACTGTCATTCCAATACTTGAGACAGAGCCTGGCGCACAGTAGGTGCTCAGTAACTGAAGGAATGAATAGCCATCCAACTCAGGTGGTGGCTTAGAGCGGCCGCGGCGCCACACTGACCGTGCATCTGGTAGGTGTACGGGCTCTGTCCAGTGGGTGGGGTGCTGAAGCTCGAGCCGTAGCTGAGGAACCCGCTCTGGCTGGGAGAATGGTTCAGGCTGTCTTCGGTCTTGATGCCTTAGGAGGAGGAACAAGAAGCACCAAGGACACATGGTTAGGATGCTCCGTGTCACCCACAGATGAGCTGCTGAGTCAGCACAGCATGCAACTTTATCAGCTTCCAAACTGGGAGAAGCTTGAGAGCTGAAGGTAACCTACACACGTATTTTCTTGCTCTGCATATTTTGAGGGGAAAATCTGAATGAGTTGCTTTTGTTTAAAAATCATGAGATTTGCCACCCCCCCAAAAAAAACTGAAGTTATGGCTTCTCCTGAGCAACAGGATGCTCCAGTAACACCATGTCCACACCATGTGACAACAGGATGCCACTGCAGGTTTCTGGGTGTGTGTTTCCCAGTCACTTAGGGATCTCTTCCTGTCCCTGTGACATCAACACTAGTTTTAAATGTTGGTTTTTCATCGCTGTTGTGCTATGTTTTTTCTTCTAGGACGTTATCAAAAGCAGGCAGAGAAAGCAGGCTAAGAGGGTCTTACACGTTGTACATGCAGTCACCTTCCTGCCCCTGCCTGGCTCAGCAGGGCCCCGAGTTCCCAGCCCTCTACTTCCCCTGTTTGGCTTGAAAGTCCACCAGGATTATGGGTGGAGGTGTTAAATGAATCCTCCTTCCCCTGCAACAAGGATGACACTTCACTGTGAGACACATTCTCTGCTCATCTCACGGGGGACTTGCTTATGGCAAGGCACGACAAATCTGCCTTCTGCTTCAGCCCAGCTCTGGCGTGCTGGCCCAAAGCGCAGGTACCAAGTTCAAGAGCATCTGGTTGGGGATGGGACTGCAGGGAGGGCGGAGGCTGACCCATCACCAGCAGCCCATTCATTTTATTTTTATTACACATGTAGTAAACACACTACAGGGAACAGTACAAAGGGACAGTGAAAAGCATCTGTCCCCACCCCTGACTCCAAAGCCTAGCTTTTCTTCTCACAGACGACCACTGTTGCCTGGACTTAGTGTTTGTGTTCACTTCACCTGTGCCCTTATAGGATCCCGTAAGAATGCAATCGGGTCATGGGGGAGCAAAGGAAAAGCAAAGGGGGGGGGGTCTTTGCTCCACAGCCCCAAAAACTTAAGAAGAAGAAATGGGGGGGCAATGTTGAGGGTGGTTCTATCCTTCTCTCCTGAGCAGCACAGCAATCCACCAAAGGGTTCGACAAGATAGAAGGTATAGTCTATGCAGGCTTGGAATACTGAATTCTTCTGGTTCCTGAGCTTCTAATTCTATCACTAGATGCTCATGGGTCAAAATATGGCCCAGTGCTTGCTTGTGTAAATAAAGTTTTATTGCAACACAGACATATTATCTTTTCTGTATGGGCAGACCTCTGCTTCTTCATTAGGAAATTCAGATGGACTGTGGTAGATTGAAAACCAAGGCTCAAGATTTTTCAGCTCTTCTCCTCACAGGTGGGGCTGCTTCTGTACCCCAAATCTAGCCTGGCCTTGTGGCTTTCTTGGACTGACAGAGGCAACCGTCTTGAGTGTGTGAGTTCTGGAGAACAGGCACTGAGGGACTCCGAAGCTCCTGCCTTTGTCCTCCTGGGAACCTGAGCTGTGAAGCAGCCTAGCATACAGCAGTGTTGAGAGGTGCATGGCCACAGCAGCTCACTGCCAGCTAAGCACGCTCCATGAGGGAGACCAGGCGAGACCAGCTGAAGGCCCATCTACCAAACCAGGAGAAATCATTAGTGAGTGCTGTCTCAAACCACCGCAGCCTGGGGTGGCTTGTTATACAGCCACAGAAAACAGGTAACCCAGGAAAGCAGAAGATGCATATACCCCGTGACCCAGAAATTCCGCCCTTCCTTTCCATCCCTGAGCAGTACCCTGAGGCGCTGACAGCAGCACCCCATGTAAGGAGACACAAACAAAATCCCCAAACCCTGAATGACCATTTAAAGGAGAATAAAAAATTAGAGAACAGCCAAATAATGAGGTATTTCACAGCAGTGACAACGAACTATTGCAATGGTAAGAATGAGACAAACTTCCTAGGCACGCTGGGTGGAAAGAGCAAGTTGCGAAAGATTCGCTGACTGTAGACGCGCCTTGACTTAGGACGTGGTGATGTCCCAACAAACGCATTGCAAATCGCAAACACGGTCACTGGATGCTCCTAACCTACAGCATCACAGCTCAGCCTAGACTACCTTACGCGGGCTCAGGACACGTACACTAGCCTGCAGTTTGGCAAAACCTTTCGACACAAAGCCTATTTTACAGTAAAGTGTTGAGCGTCTTGTGTAACTTACTGGGTGTTGTACTGACAGTGGAAAACAGAATGGTGGAGTCAACTTGCTTTGCATCATTATTAAGCTGAAAAAGCACAAGTTGAACCATTGTAAGCTGGGGACTAACTGTATACAGTTTTTAAAAAATATTCTTACAGGGCAGGTACACTCACCAGAGAGAGAGGGACAGTGAGAAAGGGATGCCACTCTGCAACCCCTTCTACTTCATTCTTCTTTTGGGATTTTGGGCAATGCACACTCATGTGGCTATAGCGTTTTTCAAATCACTAGGTCCAGGGACTGAATTACGCAGTTGGCCACACGGGATCCAGACATTTTAACCACCATGCCACCAGCTGGCCCTATCCATATGAAGTTTTTAAGAAATGTGTTGTTGTTTATTTACTTTTATTTATTTCATGACAGAGACAGAGAGAAAGAGAGAGACAGACATCCCCAACAAGGCCTTCCTGCCACCATCCACCTCTAGTGTCAGTTGGCATGCCCAGGGAAGTCTCAGGATGTGAACCCAGGACCTTTCTGGTGTGGGTTCAGTTGTAGCACCACTGCACCACCAACTGGCCCCACCCATGGAACGTTTTAAAACATGCTTAAAACATTCAACATCAGGGATCAGCAAACTATGGCTGGACGTGACCAACTATTTTTGTGGATAAAGACTTGCTGAAACAGAGACGGGCATTCATCTCTGTAGCGTCTGTGTCTGCTTTCTTGCTGCAATGGTGGAGCTGGCAGCTGCAATGAAGATCGAATGGTCTGGAAAGACAAAAACACTCGCCATCTACTCTTCACAGAAACAGTTCACCGACCTCGATTCTACATAAGGATATTCAGAGGAACGACAAACAACAAGTCCAGGGCTGTGGGTATCTCTGAGAAGAAAGGGAAGCCACCTCCCCTGACATTTTTTGAAGTTGGATGGTCAGTTCGTGGGTGTTTATAATACAGCAGTTATCCCTTATCTGTGGTTTTGCTTCCCACAATTTTAGTTACCTCCGGTCAACCACAGTCCAAGAATATTAAATGGAAGATTCCAGAAATACACAGTTCGTAAGTTTGAAATCGCATGCCACTCTGGGTCACGTCATGAAGTCTCGCGTTGTCCTGTTCCATCTTGTCCAGGACATGAGTTGTCCTTCTGTCCGGCATATCCACTCTGCATACCTGCCTGCTAATCCCTCGGCTGGCATCTGCATCCTCAGATCAGCTACTGCAGGTTGGCAGTGTTTGTGTTCAAGTAACCTCATTTTACTTAATCGTGGCCCCAAAGCACAAGAGCAATGATGCCGGCAATTCATAGACGCCAAAGCGCCTCCTTTAAGTGAAAACATACAATTTCTCAATAAGGAAAGAAAAAGTGTATGTTGAGGTTGCTAAGATCCAATAAGACAAGTCATTTCTAGAGACCATGAGAAAGAGGGAGAGAGACCTCGTTCACGTAACTTTTATCTCAGTATATTGTTAGAATTGTTCTGTTTTATTATTGCCGTTGTTAATCTTTTACTGTGCCTAATTTGTAAGTGAAACTTTATCACAAGTATGTATATATAGAAAAAAACAGGGCGTGTATGGGACTCAGTACGACTTAGTTTCAGGCATTTGTCGGGGGTCTCGGAATGTATCTCTGCAGCCGGGGCGGGGGGCTGTATTATGCTTTTACTTGTCATAAATATTGCATAATAAATTGAGCAAAAGGTGCTCAATACTCCTAACGCCCTTGCCTCTAGTTTGCTCAACTGTGTGACTTCCCTGCACTTATTTAAACAAAAGCAAATAGTACTATTTGCCAAGGAGCAACGAAAAAAAGTTTCTGGACAAGATTCAGCAGGGTTTGTCCAGACGATGAGCAAACACTGCTTGCTCAGGCAGGAGCACAGACGAAACGGCTCTTCATCCCACCTGCTATTATTTGGTGACTTGGACATTCTGGGTGTGGGTGACAGCCTGGCTTCCGCTGACACAGCTGGCGCTGATCGAACATTGCCCTTGGGCTGGGCCCTGTGAGCTAAGTCCTTCATGTAGACCAGGGCCAAATCTGGTCTTCTGCTTGTTTATGTCAATAAAGTTTTATTGCAACATGGGCACATCCATTAGTTCACATATGGGCTGGCAGATTTCACACACTACAGTGGAGCTGAGCAGTGTAGTTCAGAGAGACTGTACAGCTCAGAGTGGGAACTATTTACTAAGTGGCCCTTTACAGAAAAAGTCAGCCAGCCCCTCATATGGATGACTTTCTTTCCTCCTACCACGAGGAGGCCAGATAGGATTACTCCCATTGCGTGATCCACACACTGAGGCTCTGGGAGGTGGGCTTGCTTGCCCAGGTTCTTTTGACCAGCAGCCGCGGAGGTGGGTGGGAATCCAGCAGCAGAACTTGAGGACACGTGCACTTAGCCTCTAGCCTTGTGCAGTCTGGGAACTGACTCCCTGAAAGTAACTGAGATGGTAAAATAACTTTGAACCAAATTAATTTCCACCCGATTCCATATTTTGTCTGGGAACAGGACTAGTTTTCTCTTTAATGTAAAAAATAATATGGCTTTATTTTTCTTGGCAGTCAGCCAGGCTGGGTAACGCATGTGTGATCGTATCACAAGCCTTCTTGCAGTGGAGGGAGCGAAAGGATGCCCACACCTGCCGGCCATGGTGTCACAGGGAACCCTGGGAGTTCCCACATGCACAGCCAGGCTGCACTCAGTGACTGCGAGCGGGGTCTCCAGAGCTAGGCTGCCTGGGTTTAGTCCCACCTCTGCCGCCAATTAGCTGGGAGACCTTAAGCTAGTTATTTACCCTCTCCAAGCCTCTGTTTCCTGATGTCATGGGAGGATAATGATGTGACCTTTCTCCTAGAGTTGAGGCAGGATTAAAGGAATTAATGGACAAAAAGCAATGTGAGTGACAGTAGATGGTGTTGGTGACTTATGCAATCTTGCCCCGACATGCCAACAGAACCTGTCGATCCTCCCACTAGAATTGATCTGACCCTGTCCACCTCGCCAGGCCTTCCTCCTGCTCCTTCCACTTCGCTAGTGTTCAACCTCCTCACGGCAGCCAAAGTCGCCTGGAAAAACCCCAAGTTGTCCCATGTCATCCACTGCCTATAAAGTCTCCCGTCTCACTTGGAATAAAACCTCAAATCTTTTCTAGACCCTGGAGGCCCACTTCACCCACCTCATCTCCCATCAGACTCCAGCCATGGGTCATCTTGGACCTTCCAAATTTCTCCCATTCCTAGGTTGCCCCTCCTTCCTGCATGGGTGTGTGGTCCCCTCTGAGTTCCTAGCTGAATCAGTTCCTCACTTAAAAGGCCTTCTCTGGCCCTAGAACCTGAAATAAGTCTTCCTTGTCCTCCTCTCTCTTACGAGCTTCTTCTCTTCCTTTATGCTATGCATCATAATTTGAAATAATGCATATAATTTATTATCTTGTTGAGAAAGAGAATTTTGCTATAACACATGTGTATTCACTGGAGAGACAAAAAGAGACATAAAGCAGGCGGTGGGATGGCCATGCTGCAATCCCTTCTCTTTCATTCTCCTCTTGGGATTTTGGGCACGCATGCACACACACCTGGTGTGAATTTCAAGCGGTTGGGTCTGGGACTTGAACTGTGGCTGACTACGTGGGAGTCCAGCACACTAACCTCTCTTCCACCTGCTGGCTAAACACATATCATTTAAAAAAAATTTGTTTAGTTTCTTTTCCTCCCTCTATGTCAGAGTGTGCAAATGTCTTCATGGAACAGGCAGTTAATGCAAGGGAATAGCACAGGCTGGGTGGGGACTGTGGCAAGCAGAGGCTACGAGGAACAGGTACCAACAGTGGCTGGCTGATCCTCTGCTTTAGACCGGACGCTCCATGGAGCTAGGGCTCCCTCTGCTTTGATGACCTCTGAGCACTGAGCACATGACTCAATGCTGAAAGAATGGATGAAGGAATGAGCAGACAGGGCGGGAGCGGGAGACGGGGGAGAGAAGAAGAAGGAAACCCCATGCAATTCAGTCTCTGCCTTCAATGACCCACACAGCACCACCTCGCTGGGAAGACGAGGTACACATGGCAGGTTTACAGCGGAGGAGATTGAGGCCTGGAGAAGTCGGGGCGGGTGGGTCTGCTGTTCACTGGTCCCGTGTTCTTGTCATTGAATTTGGGTGGAGCGTGAAAGCATCGTGGTGGGCATCTGCAGTTTCTGCCACCTCCCTCCCCCTTTGTGGACCACCCCTCACTAGCATTCAGAGTGGCTGTTCTGGGTGAGGCTGACCTGACCTCTGGTTTCATGGACACATACGTGGCCAAATACGGCCACCCAGAGCATCGCATCTTCTCTGCCTGGGTCGGGGAGGGACAAGGGAGTCCAGTCAGAAATACCCTTCATACCATGCACTGAGCAGAAAGTCCTAGATCCTCCCAAGATGCTCTGTTTTGGGGTGTTCCTGCCTGGAACCACTAAGGTTGTCTCTGTCACCCCTAGCAGTAAGAGAGTCTACCTGAGACTGAAGCCAAGCAAAAAGAAGTAGAGGCTGATTCCTGATGTCTTCACTTAGGTACCTGGATCCAGCCTTGCCTGAAGCCAGACCTCTGAGACTTTTCAGCAATGTAGGCAATGAACTTCTTTGTTTCCATGAGCTAATGAGTGGTGGGTTTTTGTCCTTTGCTACCAAAAGAGCTTTGACTGATAGTCAATGAATAGGGGAAGGGACAGCATGAATAAAGACCAGAGGCAGGGCCTGTGAGCAGTGAATGATGAACCGGGTTCACAGAATTCTTCACAGTAAGGTGTTGACAGTCACGGTTGGCAGGTCTGTTGTTTTTGCCACCCTAGATCCATTTCTCCTTCTGGTATCATCACTGTGCCTCCCTCAAAGGAAAGCACATGTGCAGTCCATATGCTTCCACCCCCTCAACCCCTCCGCCCCGCCCCTGCCTTGCTCTAACTTTTGTCACATGACCCAGTTTGGGCCAGCGAGGGCCAATGGGAGATTCTGTTAGAACTACTGGGAAAGAGGAGCTGCCCTCACCCGATGGGGAGCACTGAGCTGGAAGAAGGCGCACCCGGAGTTAGACAGGCGCTGTCTTCACTGCCGCAGGGTGAGGGCATGTGTGGGGGAGAAGCCAGCTCAGAGGGAAGCATGTGAAGATGAAGACACATTCCGTGATGTCACTTGAACACCTGGATCTAGCCATACCTGAAGTCAGTATCTCCCAGTAGGTAAATCATTCCATGCCCATTTTCCCTAAGCCAGTTTGGGTTAGGTTTCGGATTCTTACAATCACAAGAGGTCTTGATACAATCTGTAGAATTTGAACCATATTTAAAGTGTCTCTCTTCCATCTCCAGTTCAAAATTAAGCTGGCTGCATGCATCATTCACGTTTAACTGAGGCAATAGGGCAGAATAAAGACCGTGGTGTTGGGGACCCCAGTGGGTGGTAAGGCTTTGCCTGGTACTTACTGTAAGAAGGGATTCCATAGGCTTGGGCTGGAGGTGGGTAGGCTGTGTAGGGGGCGGCCTGCTGAATCCCCGTACTGTACTGCGTCTGGCCGTAGGCAGCCATGGCTGTGGAAGGCTGGCTGGGTAGGACACGGCAAGGTCTGTGGGGAAGGAGAGAACATTAAACGTCCAAATGCAGCCCGGCATGCCTTCCCCCTTATCTTGGTATCGACACCATCATTTTTCTTTGATTACTCTTTCCAGAGCAGAGACAACTTATGTGTGCATTTAATCCCATTTTACTTTTCTTTCCTGAAAATCAGGAAGATTACTTTTCTTGTCTTTCTTATATCAGATTTGACCACGGGACTGAGTTCAGCCTAATAGAATGTGGGCAGATGTTGGAAGCCACTCCAGGCCACTAAAAACATCCCCTCCCACCCTCCTGTTCTTCCTGCTCCTTTGGCAGCAGCTGTGGAAGACTGGTTGGAGATGTCACAGCCGTGTGTAGAAACGGCCTGGATCCCTGAGTCGGCTTGTGGAGGAGAGCTGCCTGGAGAGCTTCACCTGGTCCTTACCGGATTTGCTGTGAGTAGAAACAAACCTTCGTTGTGTGAAACCACTGAGATTTCAGGGTCTATGGATTACGCCAGCACAGCCTATCCCGCTCTGACCCTATCCTAAATTAGATGCTCTCCAGCTTTAACAGGGCTGTCAATCAAAATGCCCTGCTCTTAGCCAAGGCAGGCGAGGGGCGGGAGGTATATGAGGCAGGATGGTCCATCGGACCCTGACTTAAAGCTTCGGCTAAATCATTCATTCCAACAGCCACACTGCTCTGCCAGTCATCCTGGCGTAGGAGGCATGCTGATCTCTGTCCCATTCCAATTTTAGTGTACGTGCTGAAGAAGGGAGCACCTGGGGAACCAGCAGTTGGCGTAAAGGCTATGTCACTGGACTCCCACGTAGTCGACCGCGGTTTGTGTCCTGGACCCGGTGGCTTAAAACTCACGCCGGGTGCGTGTGCGTGCCTGCCCAAGATCCCGAGAGGAGAATGGAGGAGAAGGGATGGTGGCGTGGCCATCCCCTCTGGGGGGCGATTTCTCGCTTTCTGTCTCTCTGTCTGTCTGGCGAGCATACGCGCCCTATAGCGAAAACCTCTCCAAAATAAAAAAAAAAAAAAGGGAGCACCTGACAGCCATACTCTTAAGAAGCTTTTTTGGGTTCTTTCTATTGCTTGGATCCCAGAAGTTGTCCTACTTTTGGCCTTTCTCAAGGCCAGATTATTTCATTTTCAGTTACATTGTGAGCTATTCCACCAGATCTTAAAAAAAAAAAAAAAGGTCCATTTAGACTCGGATCAGCTGGGGTGTATTTCTGTTCTTGCTACCAAAGCTTGCCAGTGGATTCTGCCCTCCACAGGGGATGACAGTTCCACAAAGGGCCACTCACCTGACGTGTAGTGTGACTGCACCAGTCTTTGTGTTCCGATCGTGGGCTGGGGGTTGTGTCCCCAGACCCCGTGCAGGTGTTACATCTCACCAGATGCTTTGACGGCTTTCTGGGGTGGGGGCTCTTAAACCTTCCATCTTTTTTTTTTTTTTTTTTTTTTT